GATGGAAATATTGACACTACAAGGCCAATCATAGATAGCTGAGTTACTAGATAATCTCTGTCCTACTTATTACTATGGAGTCTCATTCTTCGACACTTATTATCTGTAATTGAATAATAATCCATAATCGAATAATAAATAATTAGTAATAGTAATCAAAGTTGGGCGAGGAGCTTAATTTCCCTGAGCTTCAGTTTCCTCATCTTGAAAATGAGAGGGTTGGACTAGATAGATGGCCACTGAGGTCTTTTCTAGCTTTAGAGCCATGATACTATGACCATCCAGGAGAGAGATTAGCCTACACTTAGGAACACAGATAACGGTCACTCAGTTGTAGCAAAATAGTCTCTAAGTCACTGCACAGTACTCATCATAATAGTTGAGATGTCAGTCCTGTTTCTTTTGGCTGTTTATATTCCTCAACCCTAAACACCTGGTTAAAATGTTTCCAGCCAGTTAGTACCACTTGGCTTCTTTTCCTTAGTATAAACAACTTCACAGCCACATCTCCCTTCTTTTAATCCTTGCACCAACCTTCTATAGGTTTCACTAACTTGCTCCACCCAATTCCCTCTGACAATTTCCTTTATTCTCTAATTATTCTAGTAAACTTTTCTTATTTCCCTTTACTCATCTTGAAACTACCTCTTCCTTATCCTTCTTAAACTTGATAATTCTTCAGCTTCTACTACCTAATCTTATGCCACTGCTGAGTGGCACAGTGGATAGACCAAGGAATCAGTATTCCTTGGAGTCAGGAATACCTGAGTTCAAATCTAGCCTCAGACATTAATTGGTTGTGTGACCCTGGACAAGTCACTTTATTTCTGTCTGCCTCAGTTTCTTTATCTGTAAAATGGAAATAATAAAAACATCTACCTTTCAGGAAGGCAGGTAGGTGACAAAGTGGATAGAGTGCCAGAGCTGGAGTCAGGAAGACCTGAGTTCAAATCCAGCCTCAGACACTCACTAGCTATGTGATCCTAGGTAAATCACTTAACCCTGTTTGCCTCAGTTTCCTCATCTGTAAAATGAGCTGGAGAAGGAAAAAGCAAACCACTCCAGTATCTTTGCCAAGAAAACTCCAAATGGGGTCATGAAGAGTCAGACATGACTGAAATGACTGAAAAACAAAACTTCTGGGGTTATTGTGAGGATGAAATATATTTTGCAAACCTTAAAATACTATAAAAATCCTAGCAATAATTATTGATATTACCATTATTATCATGTCCTCTTTAGTTGTCCTTGACCATGCTGTTTTTTCAACACAGAAATAGAATGTGGATCAGCATCTGGGCTTGGAGATTGTTTTTAAAGTTTTCCTCAATTTATCCCACTTAACAAAATTTTTCCTTGCCATATTCAACCTCTGATGTACCTCAATGGTCTAAACCCCTCCAAGACACCTGCTCTATGTCCCCCTCCTTATCTGGCTTAAGTCTTTCTCTCTTCTCACACTCTTCTCACAGAAGCAAAAAATAGTTGTATTTTTAGTATCTTCCCTGCCTAGAGATATATAGGGAATTGCTCGCATACTGTCCTCGTAATTGTGTCACTTCCAGCATAAATCTCCTCTATGTGTATGTGATCTAATCCAGTTGCTTTTTCCGCCTTACTTCTCTTTAGTACTATTTCTACCTTCTCTATGAGTATAAGTGTGGTGATTCTCCAGTCTTTATTGATGAAAAACATTTGTTACAAAATAAATCCTTATAAATCTTTTCCATTTTTCTGATGTGTTGTTCTCTATCTTTTCTCATCCCTAAATTATCTTGGGATGAATTTGTTTGGTTGGGTTTATTGTCAAGCTTTCTTTAAATTGGTTCTAGCCTATATTGCTTCTCTCTGATAACATTTCTCTGATTTATCAGTGGATACTGCTAATAATCTTCCGTCATCCACTACCCAAGATTTTACAAATGAGTTTTATTCTAAGTTATTATTTCCTTTGGCTACTATTTTCTTCTCTTTGGTGAATAAATCAAGAGTTTGCTGACTAAGGAAACTTTTAGGCTCTTTGGGTCTCCATGTTATGGTAACTGATTTAAAATTAAACTAATGTATGGAATCATTATCTGGATCAATGCCTTTTCTACCATTATTGCCCCTTTTTCATTATCAATAACTAGTTTGTATAGGTCAGGATTAAATTGTTTCGATTACACTCCGTATGTTTTATTTCCTTTCTTCTTTCTTCTTGCTTTGTATTAATTTTGATCTTTGTTCTCACAAGCATAGTCTGACTGGTCAGGAATGACTCCCACACTACTAATGAAGCATTTCCAGAAAATTAATTTTCTTTTGTGATGCTGTTTGGTTCAGAAAATAATCATAGCATTTAGGCTTAAGGCTTCATTTTTGAACTCTCTCATTCTTTTTTGCTGGTCTATTTTTTCCCAAAATATTTCTTGCCATTGTTACCTAATTCTACCTTTGCATTGAAGTTACCAAGTGTATGCTGATTTAGTTTGAAAGATCTTATCAAGTTCTTCATATAATTTTTCTACCTCTTCATCCTCCACAATAAATGTTAGTGCATAATCTACAAATATTTTCATAGTAATCTTTTTGGAAATACTTATCATGACCATCATATTAGATGACCAAATGCCCTATGTATTGATGTTTCTTATTGTTTTGGGATGCCTAATAAAACCAACTGCCAGTTCCTTTGTCTTGCTAAGGAGTAACTACGAAACATCCTTCCATTTAGCTTCAATTTCTTTCTTCTGATTTTGTTTATAGCAAACTGGTCAAGATAGATACTATTCAGTTCCATATTTAAATATGCAATGGTGGTCAGTCCGTGGAATATGCATACAGCTGAACTGAGTTCTGTTGGGCCATCTCTGTTGGGCCATTTGTCACTTGGTCCATGTGACAGTGGCAAGGGGTGCCTGTGTCAAAGAGGGTTGGTCACTGAGTCACATTAACGTTTTCTTTCACATTATGAAAGTAACCAAGAATCTACTTAGTCAAACCTGAGGCTGGAATGGAGGACCTTCAAGGCCACCTAGTTTAGACCCTTGCTTCTAGGGAAGATTATACATAAATTATCCCAGAAAGCTATTTCTCCAATTCTTAAAGAATTGTGGAATGAAGTGTAGGGTGTATTATTTTTTTCTCTTTCTTTTTTACATTCCTTTCCTTCCCCACTCCCATCTCTCCACTACAACTCCCCATGTTGATCTCGACTCTGTCATATATTGTACTGAGGCTGACAACCTTTGAAAGTGTCTGGCTGAGGTTCCAACTCTTTCCCTAGTTTTCTTTTCTGATCTGAATAATGTAATGAAATTGGTGCATTCTCCCCCTTGCTATCAATCATCTCATAGCACCCTTCACTCAATCTGACAGAATTGTGCTGTGTTGGCTGACCAATGTTCTTATATTTTGGTGAGGCCCCTTTTCTCTTTCTAAATTAATAATCCTTTTTGGCAGGGACTGGCTTTTGAACCTTGTTCTATTATTCACTGAGAATTAGTTCACACTTTGAGTGGAATGTAAGGGATTCTGTGGTAACCTCACCTTGATTATTTTCTTTTCTGTACTTGGAATAAGGTAGATAAACTGGATCCTGATCGATGGCATTCTGCTCAAGGCTAACCCTATATGTAAATAAGTGGGTAGGCACCATCCTAGAGGTGACTGGAAAGCTCACTGCCTAAAACTATTCTTACCTTTCTGATTTGAAATCATCACTTGTGGATTACAAGTGGATTAGAGGACAAAGTTGGAAAGGGGGGCCTTTAAGGTAGTTTACCTGGGAATGACCTTTAAGCCCTCTTCCATTAGCGCATTAAGGAAAGCTAGTTTATTAGATCATCTTTGAGCTAATGAGAGAAGATGTTAAATACATTTCAAAGACAAGATAAGTAGAGGAAGGTTAGGAGTGAGGGAGTCAGGAAATAGCAGGAGAGTAGAATACTAGGGGAGGCTTGTCCCCGTAATTGGGACCTGGGGGAGGAGATATCAATGTCAAAGTTGAGCAGAACACATAAAACTTTACTAAATTCACAACTCTGTCTAGCAGCTGGCCTTGAGCCTGATATTCCCCATCATAAGCATCTTTTCAGTCTCTTTCCTCCTTCCTTTCTGGGTAATGCCTTCTCTCTCCCTCTCTTCCTTTCCCCTTTATTGCCCCCTCACATTGTTTAGCTCCATTTGTGGTCCTCAGGATCAAGCAGATTGCTAATGCCTCAATTAGAGCAAAGAGAGATCATTATTTAGGCCTAGGTTTGCATGAAGTGGTTACCATAGTCAGGCAAACAAAGTCCTATCCATAGCTTATTAAACTGGCTCATAAATAAACCTGTGGCCCAACCTTGAAACTGGGTCTTGCTACAGGGGCAGGGACCAGATCTTTGAGAAAGGAAAAACTTTATGCAAAGACTTCATAGTTGAAGAGAAAATAAAAATTCTATAAACTGGAATTTATGCTGGTAATATTCTTGGAAATAAAACGTCTTAAAGGTTGAGCATTTACTTTTGGGTAAAAGGATTCATAAAATAATAGAATTGCTTCTGCCCTACCCCTACCTCCTACCCATTTAAACTACATTTTAAAACCATGCTAGATACATGGAGTTTGTCCTCTTGAAAATCTTCAGCAATGATGATTATGTATTTATCCTCAGTCAGAAACATCTTTTTTTAGCCATTATAACCAGGTCATCTTGCTCCACCCTCAATGGCAAAACAAGAGAAAAAAATCTAGTGTCAGCTCCATGGTTAAAAAAAAATGCATTTCTCTATCTATATAAATGTCTATCATTATTATCATGATCATTATTATCGAGATAGGCCTGTCATTCAGGATTGTAAAACACAAGGAAGGGGGATTAACTATAGGATTTCCCCTTTTTCCAAGAAGACAACTATTTGAAGACTTCAAGAAAGAGCCATAGGATTAGCCCCAAGTGCCATTCACATTACTTCCATGTGAAAAAATCCCTAAAGTAACTTGGTATTTATAAAAAAAAATAGCCTAAACTTACCCCCTGCTACAGATGATCTCCAGGGCTTCCAAGTTGCCATGGTAGGCTGCCAGGAGTGTGGGGGTCATGCCATCTTCATCAGAAAGATTGAGATCTCTTTTGGTAGCCTCTTTCAGAATTTCCAGGTAGTCATCAGTTGCGGCCTGATGATACCGGGTTGACATTTTAAATTAAGCTTTTCCCTTACCTCACCCAGCTCTCAAAGAGTGTTTGCCCTAAGTCTTCCGCCAGGCAGAGAGGCCTCCCCAGCAGCCCTGCCCCAATGGGGAGGGTTAATCAGTGACTATAAGCTGCAGTACACCTCAGTAAGGTAGAAATATGAGGGCAAAGCTCATCACCTGTCTGCATCCTTGGAGGAAGCCGGAAATGTACTTTAGACCTGAAAGCAGAAATTTTCCGTCCAGAATGGCTGCATTAATGGTTATTTTATTTCCCTCTTACTCCCAAGTATTTCACAGTTTGGGGGAAAATAGGAACTGAAACAGTGGTTAAGTCACTAGCTGATTATCATGAAGGTGACATAGGCAATATAGTCATTGAACAATAAATAGGAGACAGTTATCATTGTCATGTTATCTAGCACTACTCCGTATTTCACTGGGAAAGTAACCTTTTAAAGTCTATAACTATGCTTTCCTCTCTCCTGTTTTCTCTGCCCCCCTTGTCACAAAGAAGACATTATTCTAGGGGCATTCTTCTATGCTTCATATATCTTCCATTCTCAGCTACTTCCCAACAATAATTAGAGATGAAAGCTGTCCTTTGATCCCTTTCCTGGTTGCCATGTAAACAATAGGAGGAGTATCTGAGATGACTGAATCATTTGGTTGCAAAGAGGAATAAATTCTGCTAAGGCATGCTAACTTTGTTCAGGGGTTATGGCTAACCTGGGAATGAAGAAGGGATGGAGCAGAAATGTTGATTCACTTAAGAAGAAACTTTTAATCCACAGAACATTAAATTTGCTATCCTTTCTATTTTAATCCTTTTAATTTCTTTTGTCCCAAGATAATCTTTCTTTGTCTCTCAATCAATGTGAAGTTTTTTTAAAACAAAAGCAAAACATTATCTGTATCTTGCCCTCAAAACATGAGAGAATATGTTAATTACATGGACTTCTTTTTGCTTGTTAACTGTGTTTATTTACTTTTCTTGCATTTCTACCATTTGAAGTATTTCTAGACCAAACAACCTGTTTGTCTCTAGTTTCTTCTGAAAGAATGATGAAAATACCTTTCTTTGGGAAGGCTTTGAAAGAGAAAGAAGAATATCTTGCGGGATATATCTTAGAGAATATCTTGAAATGACTGTGATGTAACAACAAAAAGGTATCAATATTTTTTTACAGTCTCTTTTTTGTTGTTGTTGTAAGTCTATCTTTTTTATTGATGAATATGTTCCACATTGCAGGATATGTTATTTTGGGGTGGATTTTGATTGCCTTTGGAGGGGGAGGTGTTACATCATATTCCAAAGGTTATTTGAATAGCTTTTCCTTAGTAGCTAAAAGCCTCTCTCTTTTCTGACTGCAATATCTATTGTTGGACATTGAAATTTTGGTGTTTAACTACTATGATGCTTAGTGATTAAAGACTGAGTTGTCTGTGCTCCAGAATTCTTATCAATCAGAACTCTGCCATTAATTTTCAATATTTCTAGATAATTTTCATGCATTGTTCCTACTGTACTATATTCAGACTTTTCAAATCAGTATTTTCCCAGGATATCAACAATCCTCAGTTTATCTCCTAGTCCTTTTCTCAAGGTCAGTTTGACTTTTGTAGAATATGAGTTCTTCCAGTGATATTATCCTTTGATTCTGTCCCACCAAATTTCCCCTATCTATATTTTTGAATCCCAAATCTTTCATTCCCTTTTTACAGTTTCTATTGTTTTATAGAAATTTTTATTGTTATGGGATTTTGTATTATAGGGGAGTCTAGATGAAAAGCATCATCCCACACAGAGTTAATAAACTTTATTGCCACTCGTAGTAGAAGGAAGAGAATAGCTGATTGCAGGGACAGTCTCGATGTACAGCTTCTTTGCCTGAAGTGGGTAGCAGGGGTGAGAGGAGGAAGAATCCACACTCCAGTGGACAGAAACTTTCATGCTCAAACTTATAGATTGTTTGAGAAAAGAACCAGTATGTTACCAATGTGAGGCTGACTTGTTATCTATATAACCCATAAAGTGAGAGTATTTACAAAATTACCTAATGAGGAAGCAGGGACACGGAGCAGGGAGGAGAATGGAAAAAAAAGGAAATTTAATTCTAATAGCACCATTCCAGGAAAAGGCTGAAAAGGGTCCTTAATGTCTGGGATTTTATACATTTGCATCCTAGGGGTTCTATGGCCTTATCAATCAAACTGGCTTTCACCCATCAACATTTATTAAATGCCTCCTTGCTCATTTGTTTTACTGAATTTTTCAGCAAAAGTTCTGGTTTAGTCATTAATCTCAGACCTATTTTCTATCCTTATTTCCATTCTAAATTTTCTTATTTCTTTTTAAAAAATTTATGGAGTTTCTTGCTGTTGTTCCAATATTTCTCCTTTTTTAAAAAAACAATTAAAATATTTCAACATTCCTTTTACATTTCTTCTTTCTAAAATAAAATTTATCGGTATCTTTTGTTTTTACATTACCTACATTTCCCAATTTTTCTCTTCTCCTCTCGATAACAGAGAGCCATCCTTATAACAAAAAAAAAAATTTAAAAGATAGAGAGAAATCAGTTCAACAAAGCAACACAATGGAAAAAAGTCCAACATTACTAATATTATTTCAAACCCATAATCCCCTAGTTCTTCAAAAAAAGGTAAGGAAATGTCTCATTATGTCTCTTCTTTGAAGTCAAACTTGGTTGTTATAATTTCATAGTATTCAATTTCCTTTTGGACTTTTAGTCAGACTCAACTTTGTATTTGGCCAGTGTTCTACTATCTCTTCCTAGTTCTGGTATCCAGTTACCTCCTCTGTGCTTTGAAAAGATGCTCTAGGATTCTCCTGAGGCAGCTAGTTGGCACTGTAGATAAAGCTCAGAGCCTGGAGTCAGGAATAAGAGTTCAAATCTAGCCTCAGATATTTACTGGATGACCTTGGGCAAAATTACTTAACTTCTGTTTGCCTCGGCTTCTTCAACTGTAAAATGGGTATGATAATAGCATCTCCCTCTCAGGTTTGTTGTGAGGATCAAATAAGTTAATATTTAATCACTTAGCATAGTGCCTGGCACATATATGGTGCTATATAAATGCTATTATTGTTGTTCTTGTTGTTTTTATTATCTTATATCTTAGGTTGGCCAACCCTGACTAATGGGATAGATTGTTATTCCATTCTTAATTCCACTTCTGGCCATAGGAAAGGGTTAAAAAAAAAAGAGAGGATCAGTTGTCCTCAAGTGATCCATCTTCATAGGTTCTCCCACATCCTCAGCTGGTAACTCCTGTCGTGCCAGAAATAACTTTTTCCATTCAGGGTTTGGTTTGCAGGGTTTTTTTATTCCCACAGATTTGCAGTTTCTCCTGCAAATCTAACTAAATGAAAGATAGCAAGTCTGACCATGGACACTCTGGGGCAGATATATTAAAGTATCCAATCTGAATTGACTAAAAGTAGCAGAGGTAAAATTATATTATTAGGAACTGCAAGATATTTCATTTATGTGTGGTCATGTAGGTGGAGGGTGGGGAGGGCGGGAGAAGAAAACAAAGGGTATTACAAATTCATATGTGTACAAATTTCTAATCCACCCTGAGAAAAACTTGCTAGCAAACTTCCAACTAGACTTTTCCCTTTGTTCTCTAAAGCTATTCATTGCTAATTGTAAGAGAAATTCAGTGGCTTGGGTGGCTTAGGAATACATATATTCATGTAATGAGTAGACTTTCTCTTTCCCTCAAGAGATCTAGTTTTCAACAAGCAGTTTTTCTCCAGTCTCTAAAGCCATTCATTTCTAATTATAAAAGAAACTTGCTTGCATGGAATAGAAACCCACGCATATTTTGGTAATAAGGAAAAAAGGCAATGAGAGGAAATCTGCCTTTCACAAACCATTTTCAATTAGTGTTGTCTTGGTTTGTATTTCATTTGAGGTAAAACCAACATGGAAAAAAGGGAGTTTCAAAAAATTCCCAGTTAACAACATGACCCACAGGAACACTATAAAGCCCAAACAATATATCACTTTACTACCTTGAAATCTGTTGTGAACTTGTGCATGATCCTATAAAATCTCATTATCTGTTCAGATAAGCACATTGTTGTCAAAAGAACTCTCCAGAAAATGACTGCTAGATCTCTTTTTTCCTTTTTACCATTGGGCCAAAACTGTTTCAGCCGACTTGAATAAGACTTTTCTTGTTCACAAGATTGCAGATACTAGGAATAACTGGCTTGTTTTCCTCTTGAAAGGATGTAAAAAGACACTTTTTCCTCCCATCATTACCATTGCCTACCCATTCTTTTTTCTCCTTCGTATTAAAATGTAAAAGAAAAACTAGGTGGGTAGATTGACTCATGGAATTTTAATGCCTCTTAAGGGCTGGTGGGACTTAATTTGTTCACATAAGTTTCAAACTATTCACAGTCCTATTTTCCTGCCGGAATAAAAAAAGACAAAGTTGCTATTGTACCATCTGGTTTGCATGAGGTATTATTTGGCATCTCTCAACTGCACATTTTAAAAATGCTAAATCCCAGACGGTATTACAGTCTAATTAGGACTAGAAACAATGAAGAGGGGTTTTTTTTGTTTTTTTTGTTTTTTAAGCCCAGCCAAAAAAGAAAAGAAAAGAGAGAAAGAAAGCAACCCTCTCATGATTTGGTTGTGCTTTACAATGAAGAATAATGGAGAGGATGGCAGGTGGGGGAGGGGGCAGGGGAAGGGGAGGCACTCACAGTAGGTGCTATGAATTTTAATTCTACTTTTGCAACTAATTGGCTTTTGTGACCTAGGGAAAGTTCTCTTCTCTATTTTTCAGATTTCATACCAGTAAATTATTCTGACCCGAAAGTCTCAATCAGGATAATCATATACTTATTACCCTTTTTCAAACAACAAAAGTCATCAAAATCCATGTAAAATTACAGAAAAAATGCCCACTTAAAAACTTTTATTGGCTGCCATTTTTTTCAGAATGGCAGACTGAATTAT